AACATCGACCAGACTACACAGCGCAACAACCCAGAAGACAGAAATCTTCATACTCTGATGACGGAGGCAGTATGACCTCTGAAACGTTGGTTAACATCGACCAGACTACACAGCACAACAACCCAGAAGACGGATATCTTCATACTCACCGCTGTGAGAACCTCAAGTCTTACATTTGAAGGTCCTTATTAACAGAAGTGCATAGAATGGAAGTTGCTAATTGCATGGCGGGGGGGGGGGGGGGATTACCCTAAAGACATTAGGCTGTTGTAATTGTAATACCACATACTGTAATTTAATTTTCTCCATACACGAAATTCCCCTCATTTCAGTCTTATTTTAGTCAGTCAGGTGGAACGTCCAATTATTACAGCACGTGTGAGCGCTTGCATATGAGATAATTTGAGTCTGGTCGAATTGATGTTCATTGAATTTAATATTGGTGACGGTTTTCTAAAGTTGATCGACCTAATTAAATTTTTGCCCTTATCAGACACTGGACATGCACCTCCAAGTTCCAACGTCACGTATTTTCGTTGCATTAAATATTTTGTATTTTTTATGTCCCAGATTTAACGTGCTTAACGCGAGAGTCAGCCAGAAAATCAAAATTAATTCCTTCAAACAACGCCGGAGCCAATGCCAGTCGGCTAACTAGGCGGTCGCGTAGGGCGGACTTTTTTTTTGGATGGGGGGTTATTGAAATAAGAAAGAGCCCAAAATAAAATATAACATGCTTTCAAACAGAAGGTAATACTAAATACGTGTTCGCAGTTTTGTAATATCGTTACAAATCAAGTCGTGCAATTCGGCAAGTTTGTCCAGCCCTGACTAAAAGATTGGGCACCCTTAGTCGGCAGTGTTTTTTGAATGACATCTTGGTGATGGTGGGGGCCCACTTCCCATAAGTTTTATCTCTGCCATTAGGGGTTATATGTACAGACAGTAATTGGTTAGCGAAGTGTTAAATATTAACCGATGTTTCAGAGGTATTTTCTGCTTCCATTTTCAGGGCGATGAGTGAATGTCGTGATGATGGAGGCAGCAAGTACCTCTGAAACACGGCTCTACAGCCATCTGTATTAATTGGTTAAATATGTTTATTATTTATTGTCAAAAACAAGTTTCTCATGAACTGTGATCTATATAAAATATCAAAATGCACTGTGGCATTACGCAATATTCATTTTCGGAAGTTGATGGCCGGGTTTACCTAAGGCTCCAGGCACCGCCGCGTCGGCCCTGTCTGCAGTAAGTAAAGGAAGTAAGGTCCATTACAATGTTACAGCATCCAGACACAGTTGCTTAATTAGGTCACTGTTAGCCGGTCGTTCTAGGAGGAGCCAGTGATTTAGCTGAGCTAACTTTCTTCAACTCCCCACCGTTTACGTCTGAAGAAGATGGTGTTATTCTACACAGGCGTGTTAAATCAGGCTTTAAAGAATAGTTTATAGCAGTTGTTGAGGTAAACTTTGCAAGTCTAATCTTAACTTTATGAATTTCAGTGCTCTGGGTAGACCACTAAAGAGCATCTGGTGCGAAAGATGTTTGCAGGATGTGTATTGGAGATCCACGGAATCTTAGAATTGGAGTTCATCACAATCTAGAGTGAAGCCTCCCTAAAGAAAAATGTCTGAGAGACCTGGCCATATGTAAATTTGGTGGTGTGGAAAACCCAAAATGTCGTGTGTACAAAGCGTGTATCAAGCACGTGTTGGAGTTACTGCGGCAGACTAATGATAGAAATGGCACGTGGGATGCTTGTTAACACATTACAGTTTTCATAAATAAATCTCACCCCCCCCCCCCCCCAAGAAATCTTAAGAATTTCTTTAATTACTTTGTAGCTGAACCAGAAACAGGTGAATGGTGCTCTTGTGTACAAATCTCTTACGTGTTCTACAGATCTGAAGCATAAACAAATTTCCACCCCTTGAGAAAAGTATTTTTTTTTTGAAGAGCGTTATTAATTGGAGGGTTTACAGTAATTAGCTAGCCAAGACAGTAGATTTTTTTTGTGAATTTTGAATACAGTTTTTCACACTTTGTTTATTTGTTTTTGGCTAATTTAATGACACTGAATGATGAATAATGAATTATTGTGGAAGGAAATGGTCGTGGCCTAATTTAAGATAAATTCCTGGCATTTGCCTTGAGGGATTTAAAATTTTATTTAAACAAGTTTTGTATAGCGTACGTTTTAGGAGCTGTGCATGTTATTAATAGAAGGAAATCTCATTAAACTTTTACGAAGTACTGACAGAACAGTATCCCTGTACGAAATGCATTGGGATCTTCGAAACCGCTGTTACAGATTACACCTTTAGCACGAAAGTCAGCTGTTCGTGTAAGACGTATAGAAAATGAAGTTAAGGTATTTGATGTATCAGTGCAAAACTTTGCATTTATTAACTGCTTGTTTACTTTTGCGTCTGATTATAGAAACATTAAGAGGAACTGCGGAAACTGAAATGTCCTCTTTTAATCAAGTTTTCTCCTACCCCAGGTATAATTATTTTCATGTATTGTGCACTATCGAAACTACGAGTACATGAGTGCCTTCAGACATTTATTGTTAATGATTTTAATTATATTAATCTATTGTTTCAGTCCTTCCAAGGGAGCCAGGGAAGGGCCTACCTCTTCAATTCAGTGTAAGTTCAGGTTAAGTCAAATACATTTTTATAGTCTCTGAAAGGAAGAAAGGTTTACAGGCTGCAAACTTTCTCTCTGTATCTCATTTCTGGATGTTTTAAGTTCTTGAGTCTTGCCAACTTTATGGTACAGTTTGTATCTTATATGCGTCATGTTTGTGTTTGATTAAACATATTTATTTTGTACAGCTCAGTCATTATAGCGACTAGCTACGGGCTGGACGACCGGGGTTCGATCCCCGACGGGGGCAGAGGATTTTTCCTCTAGCCTCTGCGTCCAGACCGGCTCTGGGGCCCACCCCGCTTCGTATCCAATGGGTACCGTGGGCCTTTCCCGGGGGTAAAGCCGGGCGGGGCGGGATGCTGACCACTCACCCCCATCTAGTGCCGGGGTCAAGGAAGAGAGGAGCTATACCTCCACTCACCCCAAACGCCTACATGGCGTATAGTGGGACAAACTATACTTACTTTACAGTCTATACACAAACGTTTGAAGTTTATTGGTGTTGTAAAAATTATATAATATTAAAACATTTTGTTGTGTAAAATATTATATTAGCGCTCTTAATCGTAAATACGATTTTACATTATATTTTTTAGCGCTTTTATTAAAACGACATGTTTCGACGGGTAATACCGTCGTCTTCAGGTTTTTATCAATTTAAAATATTTTAAAAACTATTAGATATTTGATGCAATATATTATAATGATCCGTAGTTTTGTTTGTAGCTTTCAATTTTCATGGTAAGTTGCTTATTGTAGTCAGACGTTATATTTATCTGTGGAATTAATGTTTAATTATTTACGATTAAGAGCGCTAATATAATATTTTACACAACAAAATGTTTTAATATTATATAATTTTTACAACACCAATAAACTTCAAACGTTTGTGTATAGACTGTACAAAATAAATATATTTATGGTACAGGTTTTCGTGTTACGAACCATTCAGATTTAAGAACCTGAAATCTATGTTATCACACAAAGTTTGGTGTTTAGTAAAAATTATGAGACATTACGTAAGGTGACATATTGTGGGGTGCTTAAGTTTGTGGCCAAGGGACGACCACCAGCGCGTGAATGCGAAAATAATATCATCCCCGTCTCCTGTGAATATGGCAGTCCTTTTTCAGTTGTGGGTGGCGAGGAAAGTGACGGGCCATCTTGTGTAGCGTGTCTTGATGACCGGCGAGTGTGTTGGGAAGTTTTATTTTGATCAGCTCGTCCAGAATTGTTCTCCGTCTAGTCCAGAGAAAAGAAAATTTGGCTTTGTTAATTGGTTGGTGCTCGCCACGATCTCATAAACTCTCAAATGTGCCCGTAGGCACAAAAATGTTGGGGACCACTGATCTAGCCTGTCTGCTGTTAAATGCAGCTTACGATGTTTAATGCTCAGAATTTTGGTTTTCCTCCGGGATTCATGTAACAACGTTTTGACCTTAGGCCCTTCTCTTTTTGGAACGTTCTGTGAAGATATTATCAGTGTCGCTTTGCGCGTGTCGAAACTTTAAACATTCGTTAAAACGTGGTCCATAAACTAGATTTTATTTTTACGGATACATTTATCTTGCTTTTTCAGACTTTGTATCCACTTCATATTTTTATCCTGTCTTGTCGCTTGGTGTTCATCATCATCATATGTTTTGTTTGCAATTTTTTGCACCACACCTAAGCGTTTTTGTACTTGCACTTATTCGGAGAAGTATTATCTATGAGCGCTTGATGTCGTCTAATTATATTTCTCAGACTGGAACAGATGACCTGAAGAGCAGATATCTTAATATCTGATAACCTAGGCATGGGGAATTTAGAGCGTGTTTCTGTCTTTTACTCCACTGATGCTGTCGTTTACTGACAAGATTACTTATCCAGACATTGTTTTGAGGTAATATGGCAAGGCCGTGGTCTAGGCAACACGGAGTTTTCCTCCGTGGCATCCCAACCATTACTCCATTCACACACAGAAGAAGGCAATGGCAAACCACTTCTGGATCATCTGCCAAGAACGTATATGAACAGGTCCCAGTCCGAGAAAAGGATGGGAGGATGCTGTTCATATGGACCTGTCGTCAGACAGAACACTAAATAAATAAAAATAAGAAGTCTATTATCCTCAAATGGTGCTACTATAAACGATGATAGATGCCAACTTCGTACTCCTCGGTGTGCTTATAAGTGTACTCTGGAAAGATGTAGATTCTGTGTGTTGCAGGCAAACTGTTAGACAGCCATAAATTGCGAAATATTTGATTGATATTGCAAGAGTTTCTTTTTTCGAGAATTCCAGTCCGTGTATTTCAGAGGTCGCGCAATAATATTTTAGTGACTGTTAGTAGCACAGGGCAGAACCTTCGATTAGGCCGTGGTCGCTATATTTCTGGTCGTAATTGTGCGTGTTTCAGGGTGAATGTCGGTTGTGGGCCAGCGGAGGAGCGAGTACTACTCACAGGGCTCCACGCTGTTGCTGACATTTATTGTGAGTGCTGTAAGACGACGTTGGGCTGGAAATATGTAAGTTGCACGACTGTTTAAATAATATTCCGCGTCATTTTTTGTTACGTAAAATTTGTTATAAAATTGTCTGTTCAAAATGTTTAACTCGTAATTAAAATAAACCCCGGTTTTAATGAAGATGACTGTCCTCTGGGTTGTAGTCTGGTAGAAACTTACCGACGTTTCAGAGGTATCTGTTGCCTCCTTCATTACCCTGATGATGGAGGCAGCAAGGACCACCAAAGTTGCTGTGACATCCTGAATTTCTGCTGGTGCTATGGACTTGTAACTTCCGGAACAATGCAGTGTACAGCAAAGAGTGAACTTGTACGCACTGCCTCCATTTTCAGGGGTGAAGTGAGAAGGCAGTACGTTCCTTCAAAACATTGATACTCACCAGCAGGTCCATACAACATCGAAACCCAGAAGATCACGTGTTATTGTCAGACGTTTAACTCATTCTGAATTTCAGTACTTACGTCCATCTTGCATTTTTAAGCGTAAAATTGTGCGTTCATTTGGGGCTGACTACGTCTGACCGCATGATTGAACTTGAGAACAACTGGACAGATTTTGATGAAATTTTGTATGGATGTTATGCCATTGGAAGCTGCTCTAAATGCACACATTCTTAATTTCCCGCAGTCATTAATACCAACTTGACACATGTACGTGAATTTTCGTGATGGGGGCAATGCTTCACACCACCTAATATAATAGATTTTGACAAATGCGGTACTTGGTACACAGCTTGAAATAATAACATGAAATTGTATAAAAAATTTGGACTCAGTCAGGATTTGAGTCCATGACGAACTACGTAAAACAGGCGTTAAGAACACGAGAATTATAAAGTCAGAAATTGAGGTACTCTTGAGTAAAATATAATAGGTTAAGAGACATTTCAGTGTACAGGTAGCCCTCGATTTACGCCGATTTTGAAACCAGAAAGTCAAAAAGTGAAAATTAAATATATTTTATTATTATTTATAACGTTTTACAATGTTTCTCGTACTGATTCTTATACTAAATCGTAATTTTTACATCGCTGATTTTGAATAAAAATTATAAATACAGTCATCTCTGCAATTACGTAAGTTTCGTTAACGCTAATTTTCTCCAATGAGATCGATAAAATCTGTTTGTGAAATGCAAACTTTTGCATATGCGAGTTTGATCTTATCCAATTTAATTCCTGGCGCTTTAAACTTTTGAAGGACTAATTTAATCTCTGCGGAGGTACCGGGGTTATTTTTACTACGCGATTTTCTATAGTTCGGCGTCTTACATGAATTCAACTATCGCATAACAGCAGAGATGACTGTACACATCAGTCACACGAAAGAATCGCGGGGACCAACGAATTGCCGATTGTAAATGAAAAAATATATTTTTTAAATTCCTTTTATTTTATTTACGTTATTTCAGAGCTTTAAATGTAATGTCATTATATTACTCGTCAATGTCTGGGTGCTGGGAACGCCTGTCATTGATTTCCCATTGATTCACATTATAATAGAGTTTCAATTTACGCCGGTTCGTCCAGGAACGCGTCCCCGGCGTAAATCGAGGGCTCCCTGTATATCGTAGGCTGTACATTGCACGTGGAAACTGTGTGTCTTCTGGTACAGATTGAACCTTCCCATTGATGTTGAAAGAGGAAAAGATTTGAAAATGATAATGGAGGAATTCTTTTAGGTTAAAAACGTGTACAATTTTGTTGTTTGGTTAAGTAATTTTAACTGTAACGTGAATCTGGTACATGAAAAGGCCCTCATTATGATGACACTTGAGATAACAGTCGTATTATAATAAACATGATCTCTACGTTATCTGGTGAATGTGATTGCTTAATAATTGCAGATGTTGGTTATTCCTGTTATGAATAAAGACTCTGACGTCTTTTATAAATAAATGCAGAGTCTCAATTTGGCACTTCGGAACTTTTAGTGGTGTTCATCATCTTCTTACAGATGCTTCTTTAATTTGAAGGTGAGAAATTATCAAACTATATTGGATCTGCCGTTTGGCACTCGTCGGTGTTTAAGGAGAGTTTCATCCGCAGTCAAAATGGCTTACAGTAATGCAAGATGGCGTAGGCTGCCATTTTGTACAGATGTTGTTTACAAGTCTCACTTCAGATGTTTTTAACAGATGTAATTGCTGTTTCAGGAACATGCATTTGAATCGAGCCAGAAGTACAAGGAGGGGAAGTTCATCATTGAGCTGGCCCACATGATCAAAGAGAATGGCTGGGACTGAGAGTTGGCCCGGCCCGGCCCGAACGTCCGTCGCCTCCGCCACCCGCTCTGTGCGGCCTCTGGGTCACGAGATGGTTGGCACATGGGCAGGAACGGGCCGTCTGGATCATTTTGAGGTGCGGGCAGGAGACAGGATATTCTGTTGGACGGCCTCCCGTCAGACGGGGTTCCCCGACGTGGCGCCGCATTAAAAGTGCGGCCAGTTCTGAGATGAGTTAAGTCACAAATATGAGTGATTGCGCAGGAGATAAGCAAGCCAAATGCCATGACACGGATTGTTGGTGTGGACTTCGGAAGCTGTCGGTTCAAGAGGTGAAATATTTATGTTCTCGCAACTAAACACATTTATGGATCTGTGTTCTCATTGTCTGAACTTGAGGGGTAAGCAAAGCAGGCTCAAGACATTGATTCTACAGGGCTTATTAACTTAACGGAGAAGCCCAAAAAGAGATATTTAAAGTTTGTACATGTGTAATTGGCACTGTTTTATTTTTTACAACATGTGTTAGATGTGGGCAGGGTAGTAACACGACCATGTCACATAAACTTTCAGTATCTTGTATATCTCTTGACAGTCGAATGGCTTAAGATGGTATTTGTTACGTCTTTTCAAGGCACGATTATACGTGATGATGAATCGGTCGGTTTTAAATGTGTACTTATTTGTGCCAATCGATGATGTCCCAACCATCTGCAGGTGAAGAGGAACGCAATGCGTGCAGCTTGTGCGCGCCAGCTCAGTAAGGCCTTGCAAGCCTCGCACCGCCACTACCACCGACTCTTCATCTCGTAAGTTGGGCAAGCTTTGAGCTTCTGCGGGCTTACCGTAGCTAGCGACTTTCTGTCGGTTTGCGTAGGTGTAGACGTTAAATGTGGGGAACCTTAAAATACTGGTATTAGTAACGGACGGCTCGTGGTACGTCTCGGATGACTGGGCTGGCGAGGGGATGTGGTCGCCAACTTGTTGCTGCAAGTGTAGCTCGATGTGATAGGTGATGGCTCATCATCTTTTATCTTCTGTGCAGCAGAATGGCAGTTGGAGGATTTTTAATTTAAAAACAAATTTGAGTTGGGTGTGGCCACGGAGGCCAGTACTTAATCAGCGTCAAATTGGTATTTTTTTTTAATATAAGACTTGTAGTAGCTTCTTTTATTCTATGAATTCTGCTGTAGAGAAGAGAGAATGCCATCCCACTTGTAAATGGTAACCCAATCTAGTCTTTCAGTCTGTGCATTCGTTGTTTCCCTGTTTGTAGATCGAGTTTTGTACAAATTGCTTTATTTCTCAGATGTTTGTCTTTGTTGGAAGCATGCAGATTATTTCAGGTCCTGCAATTTTATGAAATCATATCAATTACAGATTATTTTAATTTTAAAGTAAAGTGATATGCCAACTCATAGGCAAACTTTTTTGTGTCGTGAGCGTACCGAGTGTCGTAGGACTCGTACGAAGAAGAATGTGCGCGTGGAAGAGATTTGAACGGAGATTGCGAACTCATTGCAACTTCTGGTGAGAGAGTGAACTGACGGCTTGTGAGGAGGCGCAAGGAGCAAGAGGAAGATGAGCGGTTAAAGTTTTGAGCTGCTTTCTGATTATTAAAATGTTGATATGTAAGCGTAGTTTGCGAAACACCAAGGGTATAATTTGTTTAATCTGTACTTTAAGTTTCCCATTATTAAAATGTGTTAATTCAGGATGCTTCGTAGTGCTTTCACAATTACAGTTCTGCTAAAATGCCCTTTCCTCGGAATAATAAATTTATTTCCGTTTTCAAATATTGTCTCTTTCATGTCGAGTAATTAAACAAATTGCAGGGCATTGAAACATTCTGTAATTTACTGTAGTAGTAACTGAAAGTACGCGGCAGAGCAGACAAACGTGTGAGCAAAAGAGCATTCGTTTCCAACTTTTGAATCAGGAGAAGGAACATTTTTTTTCTTTCATTGCAAGGTATTATACTGTAACTGCTTTGAGATCGTCATTTGGTATTTCTTTTTGAATTCAGCATTTGTCCATACACCTTTTAAGTAATTAAGTCAACCTTTTTTTTACAATCTAAATGAATGAAAAATAAATATGTTAATGAGAGTGTAAGATGATTTTTTATTAACTATATTCCCTACTTTTTATCCGTGTATTATTTTCCAGGACAGTAGAATTGCCGTTTAATGTTTTCTGCAGTTGGCGTACCTGTTGGTCTCCTCGTCACATAAGTGACGCTACAAGAAATATTCCACTTTTTCGAGACAAGAAGCATGAACGTGGCTGTCTTCTGGGTTGTCGTCTCGTACCTGGTGCGACAGAAGTCTGCGTCTCAGAATTTTGTAATGAAGTGTGTTCTTGTTGATTTTCTTAATCTATGTCCCTGGTGCGACAGAAGTCTGCGTCTCAGCATTTTGTAATGAAGTGTGTTTTTGTTGATTTTCTTAATCTATGTGGCTCGGATTATTGACGAAATAGCTCGGTCAGTGTAGGAACTGGGTATATGCCGCACAGCCGGAGTTCTGTTCCCAGCATGGGGCAGGAATTTTCTTTCTTGCCACTGCATCCAGACTGATCACAGTGCACCCGGGTTCCTAACGCGTTGCTTTGGGGGCTCATCGTCCCGAGGTGTGTGCAGGGTGATTCCGTATTGGATGTAGTGGTCAGCTGTATATCCTAAAGAATTCTCAATTTATACAAACACGGGTCTGTCGCTCCTTACTTAGTATCCAAGTTAGGGTCGTCCTCACATGCTTGAATTTTACCACCAGGGTTCTTGGTGGTCACTACTAGCAGGTGTACACACACACTGGTGGTACGTGTTGTTATCGAAACATATCATACGCAAAGAGGGTTATAAATTCTTACTCGAGATTGATCGAGACTTTAAGCTAGCCTTTCAGATGAGGACAGCCAGTCCCTGAACTTTTCTTATTACTATGGAATGAGTGTGAGTCGCTTGACCAAACAGTGACAGCCTTTGTGTGAGAACTATTTGATGAAGAAGTGGATAAGAGGATGCCCAAAGCTGACTCGCCAAGTTGCTCTTCATGATGAAAGAATTTAGGTGTTCCCTGTGCTGAAGATAACGACCTATCTCTTATGACGACTCAGTTAATGCTGCCAGATATGGGAAGATCTTAAGCCCATTTGTGGGGGAAGTTTATAAAACAAATCCTCAGACTCTGAAAGAACTAAGAAATAGCATCCGATGTGAGATTTCAACAATTTCTGGGGAGAACTTACCGACATGTTCCGCAGGTACACCGAGTGCATTCAGTCAGGATGCAGCATTTTCAGCATCTGCTGTAGTACTGGTGAGTTGTTACACCTTTTAAAGGTTATTCTGACTGCAACGGCCAACGCTAACTTCGGTGAACACTACCGCTGCTAAGATGCAGGTCAGGGGCCTTGCTGGCTGCTTGGTCAAACAGAAGGAGATCCGCCCTAGGTTTACTCATTCCTTCTCTTCAGACGTATATTTTGTAGTCTCATTACATTCTTGAAGATAACTTCTGGATCTTTTTATGAGAATAATGTCACACTTCCTTAGGAATCTGTTTTGGATCACTGATGGTGACCTTGTCCATTTGTATCTGAACTAGACATTTTCTTCTTCCTTTGTAGAGCAAAGCGGAAATATCAAACTGGCTGTTTGTGTGGCGCTGCCCTAGGCTCCAGCGAAGCGGTCGGGAGAGGGTAGCGGCCAAAGTCCGAGATCAAATATTTTGATATTTTTGCGCGAGTCGCTACTCCGGCCAGTAAGGCGCATGTTCAAGAAAGCTCTGACCGTGCAGTACACGGAAGGTGCATGCGCAGGAAGGCTGTGTCCTTCTATTGCGGTCTCTCACGTAGGACACAACAAGCGATTCCCCGCTTCATATGACACCCCATGCTGCTATGCGGCTCGGGTACCTCGCTTGTTATCGCTTACGTAGGACATTGCCTTAGAGTCACAACTTTATTCCACTAATAGGCACATGGTCTAAGAAAACACGAATACAGAAGAGTATCTTTTATTTGTTAAAATACGTGGAATGATGTTCTACAGTTCTCTTTGCAGAACACGTCCAGTGTCAAAGGTGAAGGAATTAGGAAAGTCGATGAAGGTGAAAATCTTTTTAAACCTTTACACGAGCTACATATTTTCTTTAAAGGCATGCCATGTCATAAGAGCTCTGATAAGAGACAACTGAATCACTTAATTTATTAACTACATAAATATATGAAAATGCACAGTATTATTCTAATTCTCCTTTTCTTGATTGTTAATAAGCATAATTAAACTGATGGACACAAGGAAAAAGGACCTTCACTCTGGAATCATATCCACACTCAAGCAGTCTTCACCCATGTTACTTGGAGATGTTTCTAACTCGCAAATCTCATTAGATTCACTGAAAAAGAAAAACAATTACACATATTTACAAACAAAATCATTAATGACTTCAATTTAGTTTGAACCTTTGCTACAATACTTAATCCAGATGAGGCACAGACAAGGAAATTATTTTAAGAAGGGTTAATCTACAGCAGTGGTCCCCAACGCGGTGCCCGCGGGCGCCATAGCACCCGCCAAGGCTTTATTTGGGTGCCCGCGTTGATACGGAAAGAGGTTATACTGAATAATGAAGGCCATTCAACCACAAACATTATAAAATCAAAGCGCAGATCTCGATTTACTGAAGCCCATCTTGACGATTGTTTGCAAGCAGCAACATCATCCTACACTCCCAAATTTGAAAAACTGGCCGATGAAATGCAGTGCCAAACATCACACTAACTTCCCGCTTGCGTAATAATGTATCATTAAACGTTGTATTGTTTTGCGTATTATTTGGTGTCCATATCTTATTTGTCCAGAGAAAAGAAAATTTGGCTTTGTTAATTGGTTGGCGCCCGCCACGATCTCTCAAACTCTCAAATGTGCCCGTAGGCACAAAAAGGTTGGGGACCGCTGCTCTAGAAGCTTCATAAATACAGTTGTACTTAGGGCTATTTTACAGCTGATAGAAGATGTTCTCAGGTTCGCAAACTATCCCATTCTGTTCGAAATGACGAATGGATTTCCGAAGTAGTGGAACGAATCTGTTATTGTACCTGCTTATAGACTGAAGGCGTACTCTGGTAGAAAGAGGCTGAAACAATGTGTGGTTTGGTGTTCGTGGCGGTGTGAATGCAGATGGGCTGTGCCATGCCATGCAGTACTTCGGCTGCATGCCAACGTTTCAGACCACCGCCCTGCCTCCATCCTCAGCTACTGAAGATGGAGGCAGTAGGTTCCTTTTTCTTTTTTTTGTAGTATTTTCCCAAGTCCATACAGCATTACAACCCAGAAGACAGAAACTGGCATCTTCACTGCCTTGAAAAGCTCTAGTCTCATTCAGTTTGTAAATTCATCATTACCATGTTTTCCCTTATATTAACGTACCTGTCTAAAGATGGGTCATTGCTAAACATTTCTGTTGGGACTGTTGGCGGTGCCTTCTCAGGCACAAGCTCTAAATAAGTCTGTCTTGACTCCAAATGTCTCTCTACTTCCTCTGGAGTCATGTGTCCGTCGGACAGCAGAGATACCGGAACGCTGCCGAACACCTGCAACTGCATATTTCACAAAAATTATTTCTTTAAACATGTATATTAGGTTCATTTTAAAATCATCAATGTCAAATTACTGGGAACATTCTTAAGGATTCTAATTCACTAACAGGTGTTACAATGTTCTGCTTTGGAGCTTTGGGTGGTGGCCGCTTTTTCTTAACTGATGACTGCATTTTCGGTGTCCCAGAAGACTGCGGTACAGTTACATGACTGCTAACTCCACTGTCAGGCTTCTTTCTGAAAAAATAAAACACGAAACATGGACAATGGCACATGAAAGGAATTACTATTAATGTCTCCAGCACAAGATGGTAACAGATCAGGCCAGCCAGCTTAATTCTATCCTTGACCACACCTCCTTCCCAGCTCAAAATATATAGGATGTAAATTTGAAAAGTGCAGTTCATGTCTAATTCCTCAAACTGTCTTCATTACAAAGGGGTACACAAGTTACCTTAATCCCACATTTAACCCCTGATGATGCACCACACTTCTAAAATTATAGAAACCTGTTATTTTGTTTTCACACATATTGAAAATGGAGAGAATGTGGCTAAATTTTGGGATGTAAATATTCTATCACTGCTTTCAGGACAGTGTTCCTGTGCAACGCCTAATTTTTACAAATGAGGCTCTTACAACCAATTCATGGTGATATAAATATGTGTGGTACAAAGGATGTAGCACTAGTTATCTGATAGTTATGGCTTTGATTGCTTAGCACAATTCTTGTGTTTTCAGTTCAACTGGTGAAAATATAAACCAAAACAGTCAGTCAATCCTTAAAGTGACTTAGGATTCAAACCTTTTTGCAGTGTCTGGGCGGCTTGCCTCACCCTCATCGGAAGATTCTGTCTCCTCACTCTCACCTGATGACACATCAATCTTCTCATATTGCAACAGTCGGTCTAAGAGAAAGCTTCGATCACGACTTGCCTTGAGCAGGCGTCGCTGTGTAGAACGCAGAGCTTCTTGAAAACACTCATTTTCCTGTGAAAAGTTACACTGAAAAGCCTCACTTAAAAATAACGAACTTAATAAAAATGCACTCAATTATACACATCATGAAACTTGGTTAAGATGAGCATGAATGAAATCTGATGCACAAAGAACACAATACCTACAAATTGACAATATTCAACACATAATCCCTAAACTAAGCTCAGCATGAAGATGGGAGTCTTCTGGGTTGTTGGGCGTGTAGTCTGGTAGAAGTTTAAGAACGTTTCTGAGGTCTTTGCTACCTCCATCATCAGGGTTATGAGGCACTCATTGCCCTGATGATGGAGGATTGGTTAGGCTGAACAATGCAAGTATAATAGAAATGCACATACATAATTTTATAACTTTTATAATATAAGAATAATAGGTGTGGCTTACATAAATGAGGAATTTCAATTTCCGTTTTAAACTCCTGTACTGTGTTTTGTAATTTATAGTTTCCTCTTGACTTTCTTCATCTTCCTCTGTATTTGTTACCACTGAACGACAATACCAACCGTCCAACATTGATCATCTGAAATTGACTGACCTTTTTAAAATACGTAACTCTACACAAATCAAAGCACAGACATCACAAAACAATAACAAACACTTGACATATTTGCCTCAAAACAGGAAATGTGACTATTGTCTGTGCTAAATACATTTAGTCGTGTTCATTATTTGATTTTACCACATGTGTTTTGTCACAGATAATGTAGGAAAACCTGACTAGCACTCTTGTGTTCAATGGAATATGCTCTCCCCAAGCACTCACTGTATTTCCGATAGAACGCACTCAGTCGATTTTGGGCTGATGGGTGTCGGTGTTTAGTTGTAGTTACATTTCTGCTGTGGAAATTTGAGTGTTAGTGATTAGTACCTCAAACAAAATGAAGCTTATCTAACTTAGTTATAATTTTCTATGATGCAGTCCATTGTTTGGACTGGGAGGCTTTTGTCTCGTGCCTTGTGGAATGGTCTTTCTAATTATTCGAACTGTGCTGATCCGAATATCAACAGAAGGCACGAATCCCGTATAGTTTCTGCTGTATGTGGTTTTCCGAAAGAACTGGCTCATGCAAGACTGAAAAAAGGACAGTTTGGTGATGATGCTTGGTTTACTGCGAAATATAAATCAGCAGACGTTATTGGTGAGTACATCGTTTTACCAGCCGCATGTTTCTGTATTATGGTAAAATTTTGTGTCTTTATTAAAATACTCTAAGTTTATTAATGAATTTAGTAAAAACGAAGCCCCCAAGCAAATTGCGATTGCATTTTTTTTTACCAATTTCATAGTTTGAAGCATTTCTACTTTACACTTGACAGTGTTATGAGGGATGTTCTAGAAGTAAGGTATGGAATCACACAGTGATACGGAGTTGCTATTAAAGAGTTAACAACTGCTTGTACATGTACACACATCATAACATTATATTTCTGTGTAATCAGCACGCCTGTTGAGGCACTCTCCCAGCAGGCAACCAGTATATTGAAATCATTGGCAAAGAAAACTTGGTCAAGCATCTGTAACCAGTTCATCAGCACTGCAGTAACATCATCATTATTCACAAACCACTGCCACAATAAATACTGTTCGAGGGACCGCGCGGTCTGAGGCATCATGCTTCGGACCGGCGTGCTGGTTCGAGTCTCGGGGGAGAAGAAATTTTCTCATGAGCTTTCGACCAGTATATGGGACCGGTGCAATTATTTCCTTAAACAGCCACTAAATAATTAAAATTCATAATGGACAAGTCTTGTATTTTGTTGATTACAAAAATCACCATGAGGAAAAGACAGGTATAATAGATGGAAGATATCTCCCATACAACTTCTTACATCTGCAGCCAGTAGTCGAGCTAGCTAACACATTATCAAATTAAGTTAAAACTAATAATTTTATAGCATATTTCTTTGCTGTCTTTCTTACAAAGAGTGTGTTATAATTTAAGAATATTATGAGAGAGTTTGTTGTGTACGATACAACATATGGGAACCTGCACTAGTTTAATTTCATTTTACTGTGGGTATAGTTCAGAATTTATCAACAGAATAAACTGTTCATTTTACCTGACTGAGTGACAAAATGATGTGATAGGTTTCTGAGGATTTGGTAATCTGCTTCATCTCTGGATTTCGAAGGATGCAGTTACTTGTCATTCTGATTGCACTGAGACCTTGAAACTCCAGAGATTACGTCAGCGATTAACTTGTTGGCAATTGCTCAAAGTGTGAGCCGGAATAGCTCAGTGAATATAGTGACTAGCTACGGGCTGGACGACCGGGGTTCGATCCCCGACGAGGGCAGAGGATTTTTCCACTAGCCTCTGCGTCCAGACTGGCTCTGGGGCCCACCCAGCCTCCTCTACAATGGGTACCGGGGTCCTTTCCTGGGGGTAAAGCTGGCAGGGGCGTGATGCTGACCACTCACCCCCATCTAGTGACGAGGTTAAGAATGAGTAGGAGCTATACCTGCTCTCCCCCCCAAGCGCCTGTATGGCACGTAGCGGGACAAACTTTAATTGCCAATGTACCGGAGCACCCAGTTTGGAGTACATGAGATTTTAGGTAGAAGTAATGACTTGCTTTTCCTCAAATGCTTTCATAAATCTAGGGAGGCATACAGTTTGGTTATCTGTTTATTCTTCTGTAGGCAATTTAATGTATGCACCAGCCTCAGAATATGATTTTGATTTTTTTAGTTAATTCTTCTATGTCTTTGTGGTACTTTGGGGGCAGAGTCTTTCATCACTTGTTTGAATCTCCTCTCTATGTTGAATTCCATAATTTTGTTTTGAAGCTCCATATTTTCTGTGTTTAGTGTGTGATGGTATTTTCTATGAGTTTCTGTTGTACTGATTTTAGAAGTCTGTATTGAGTCTTACAATTCAAGTCATTTTTGATTTTTCTTATTCATTTTGCTGATGTTTATTTTATCTAAATATATAACATTTTCTTGGTCATGTAGCAGTAATTTATAAATAGCTGTTTTTTGTTCCTGTGATTAAGGTCTCTAACCATTCAATCGAGTCCACATGTTCTAAGATGTATCATAATTCTTTTTTTTTAATTGAATCCGGTGTTCAAAGGTTTTCCACTCTTTTGTGAAATACTTTATTGTGGTCATCAGCACAGATTGCCCTGTTGCTTAATTACGTTATCCAACTTTTTATTTGGAGTTTTGTATATTATACCAAACTCTTGTTTTAATTTTCCATCGATGTTGTCATTAGTAATGTACCAACATTTGCCTTTTATCTACTGCATTTTTAATTGAGATTTTAGTGTACAGTTATGACGTTTTATTCCAAAAGTATGGCCACTTGAGTTCCAGGCAAATCTAGAGCCGCTGTGGATGGCCCCGTGGGCTTTAAATGCTTTAGCAAAGTGAATTGCATATAAATGTTTATATAGTGATCAAAATTGTTAGCTGATAGTGTTATTGTTAAAATAGGGCATGTTTACTGAGATGCAAGGATAGTATTTTGAAAGATAGTGAACAAATTTTTGCGAAAGTAAGCAGTTTCAGTTCTGTTGCCGGTTAGTCATTCTTTGTCGCTAAGCAGAGATGAATGTAGCAGTACGAGATGCTCTCGACTTACACTACCATTTGATCTTTTGCCTAAAATGCAGCATTTATTCTTGGTTAAAAAGCAACAAGAACAAAGCCCTCCCCTCCATGGTGCCAACTAATGTTTGCCGTTGTTCCGCTTTCCAAATGAGAGAGCCATGCAGACGTTACAAAACCACTTTCTCAAAAATGTTGTAAGTTCTCAAGTGCTGTTATGTAAGTGTCTTTTACTTTTGTGCCTAAGGGAGTTGTGGTAGCTTAGTACAGTGACTAGGCTCCAGGGCGAATGATGGGTTTGACTCCTGGTAGGTGCAGATTTCTTTTCTTTGTCGTCAACGTCGTTTCCAGACCATTTATGTTTGAGCTTTGAGTTCTGTATTACGTCCAGCTCATTGAAATGTTTTCCCTCGCTCTGTGAACTCCATCGAAGGGCTAATGACAACGTATTTGCATGCATGTACGTGTTTTCAGTTGGAATTTTGAAAATAATGAAGGTGACATTGGTATCCTTTTTGGACTAAGCAAGATGAATCCAGACAGCCTTCTCCTGTTTCAGATCCATTTTAATAATAATCTGCCATCTGAATGGCTTCCAGGTTGTTAATGTACTACTTAATTCAAAAGCCTAACGTGCTTTTGCGTGTGTCTTAGGATTATCAGACAAATTTAAACTGAACTAAGATAATTTCATTTGAATTATACCAGTATTATATAACGTTCAATTTAACTCATTTTGGAGGTCACTTAAATTTGCCTGATTGCGTACCTTACGAAGTATTCACCAGAGTGAATACATTTTGAATATAGTTACAGGGTTTCGTAGAATTCTGATTTACGAAATCTGTGAATATAATAAGTAAGCGTCTTAGTTTTGGTTATGCATGAATGCTTCTTGTTGTCGTTATTATTATCAATTTTGACAAATGGCCAGGGTAGTTGACCACCAATGCATGAAAGGAATAAATGTACCCGAACCTCTGAGTGAGTGATCGGCGTTTCGTGTTGGTCTGGTATAATAAATCTGTTTGTGTCGTCCTAGTGCCTAGTGTTTGCGGTATTTGGTCGTGTTTACATTTCATCTCAGATGTTTGTTTATTTATCTGTGAGTATATAAGAAAGCCCTAAATTTTGTGCGGAATATTTTATGTACACAGACCAAGAAAATAAACCCTCGGCTATTTCTGCTTGCCACTTGGTACAGTTTTTAGATTTGACCAAGCAGTTGCTGGCCTCAGACGGAAAGGAAGGTTCCAGGAAAGATTTTTCGTTCGAGACGAAAGGAAAAGTGGAGTTCGATCCAATATATTGCGTTTGATTCATTGTGTTAGATTGTGGAATTCGATGGTATTTTGATTGTATGGGAAGAATTAAAACGTGATTCACAATCGATCAGTGGGATGTCTGCGAGTAGATTAATGTTTCGGCAGTTTGTTTTATTGTAAACAGATGGAAATTTTTCATTTGTACTTTAGACTGACTGAGTAGTTGTTAGTTAATGATTTGTTGTGATTGTTACTGTGAAGGAATTAATAATACCGACCCTTACCCTGAGTTTGTCCCCAAAAATGCCTTTCATTCTACGTAGCGACCATCTTTGCGGAAACTATGAAGTAAATCTTTTTCAGTTTTTGTGGATTCGATTACTTAAGATGTCGCCGGAACCCGAGGTTGTACTTCGGAATTTCGAAATTCGGTGGGTGTGTCGCTGTTAGTAGCCAACACTTTACGATCTCAGTTCTGACGCTTCGTCACAAGTTTCGTTTATCGTCTTCAGATAGCGTGTACTGCTGCACATATTTAATATTTTGTCCTTTACTTTTTACATTGCACAGATTTTGTCGTTCATGTACCAGCATCCACTATTTTTGTATTCCTGAAAGTTACGTCTCCTATGTTTTTTGAGTACATAAGCACCGAGTAACCGTGCCACGGTGGTCTAGCGGCTAGAACGCTGGCCTTGTAATCGATTCCCGGCGGTGCCCGAATTTATAACTTGTGTTGGGCAAGGCCGTGGTCTAGGCAACACGGAGTTTTCCTCCGGGGGCTTCCCCGGTTTCTCCTTGGCATCCCAACAATTACTCCATTCACACACAGAAGAAGGCAATGGCAAACCACTCCTGGATCATCTGCCAAGAACGTATATGAACAGGTCCCAGTCCGAGAAAAGGATGGAAGGATCCTGTTCATATGGACCTGTCGTCAGACAGAACACTAAATAAAAAATAAAATATAAAGAACAATGTTCCGTGACACATGGCTCTGCTTCGGAAGCTAATAGCCAGCGAGGTGGTCAGGAAGGTGCTCGTTTCTTGTCGGACTCCGGAGGTTCTCTCTCTGTGGCATCCCAACAATTACTCCATTCACACACAGAAGAAGGCAATGGCAAACCACTTCTGGATCATCTGCCAAGAACGTATATGAACAGGTCCCAGTCCGAGAAAAGGATCGAAGGATCCTGTTCATATGGACCTGTCGTCACACAGAACACTAAATAAAAGCATTGAAGGCGTTGAGGGAGAATGAAGGTAAATTTCAGATTCTAGGTACTTTTTAGATCGGGAACTGCTAGGATAACTAACAGTGATGGTGAAGTGACATCGACTTGTAATAAACCTTGTTCAGTACCGGACAGTGGAGACGTGAAACATAGTAGAATGTGAGGAGTGACATGCAAAAGTTTATGTAAAGGCATTCTGTCTTACTTTTACAGCGGCATCGCCTGTCAAACCTCGGGGTTTCTGCATGAAGTCAGTTGCTGCATGTAAAAAGTCTACAAAACACGCGGTTTCGTCTTCGTTAAAGAACGACGCTCAAGCCAGAAGCTCGTATTTTTAGCTCCTGCTCGCTTCACGTAACTCGCGGCGTGGTCACGAGAATCCGCGGTGGGCGAGTGCATCGGTGGGACCTCGGCCAGTTCTGCTCACGTGCACTCCCAAAAATTCACCGGCATGTGATTTAGATAATCTGTTGTGTAACTGTCTCCATCTACCCACCCCCTAAACCCCGTTAGTCTGTACCGGAATATCGCAGTTTCCGTTCCCACTGTCACGACGGAAATTGCCGAAGTTTTGTTTCGCTAGCCGCGTTGGTTCTTTGCGACGATTTCCACGCGAATGGACTTGTGTTGTTGACTGTGGCATTGCACGGTAACGCTGGACATGCCATTCGTAGTGGTGAAATGAGTCCGCCTCGTGGCCTTGTAACTGGTTGCGGAGGAACATACCGCCTCCATCTTCAGAGTAAAATAACGAATATATAGTGTACCATGCCCGGATTACTTCGTTTCGAGATGCACCTCAAGCTTTTTCGTAGAGACACTGTAGTACTGGGAAGAATCCTGTATAAAAATTATTATTTAAGTTAAAATGTTTCTGACGAAGGTGTGATAACAGCGTTTGTCATTATTCTGCCGAAATTTGCATGTGGTTCTGTCGTGTAAGAACTTGAATCTTGTTCGTGCCTCACTGGAAAAGAACTTCGCCAAACCTCGTTGTTTTAATTTCCGGAAAACGGAATCAAAATGTAAAAAGTATTCCGAGAGTTGTTTATAGGAATGTTAAAACGTTCTGCTAAGATCCTCATGCGTTTACTTTCCTTTTCACACTTTAACGTGTATAAAGAACTTCCAGATTTATAATCAATCACGAACGTAGCGAAGTTTTTTTTTTTGAAAGAGTTCTCAACAGTAGTTATCTAACGTCCAGAAATTCTCATACTCAACCCGGAAGTTGGGTCTGTTGTAATTCTCATAATTTTCATCGTGCGTACATGCTCACAAAAAGAATGACGTATGCAGAATTGTATGGGAGGCTTAGATGCTTCTAGTGTTAACATTCGTGAAAAACTAAGTGAAGAAATTGAGGTCGAGGACGATATTCTGACCCGACCCGACCGGAGTCGCCAATATGTATGTAAGACCAGTCGATGCGCAGTTAAACTGCACATCCGTTCAGTGACGTAACTCTGCATTGTTTATGATTACGATAAGTGAGTTAGCTGGGCAGTGAGTTGGAAAATGGTTCTCTGCCGGTGAGCGTGGTGTTTTATGACGTGTGGCAGTCCTTACTCTGCTGACATTTTTATGTTCACTAGCATAGTGAACTCGTTTTGTGTGCATAACAAG